CACCCTCCCCCCCCGCCTCAAAAGTTAAATGGTCGGCCCCTAAGATGTATACCTGGTTGCGATAAATGTGATCTCAAACGTGGTTAGGTTGCGTCTAAATGCGCGGCAGTCGGGCACGGTCTCAGATGAGTGTTCCCTAAATGGTTCTTTCAAACTTCTTTAGAATATTAGATCTTTGTTTAGAAATGTTAAGCGATGCCGACAATTTTGATTTTTAGTGGAAGACTTTTCAGAGCTTGTCCGTGCATACAGCAAAAATCGCTAGGTTTCAACTACACTTAGAAAACATATCTGACCTGGTGACTTTCGTTGTAAGTTATGAACAAGCTCGGAAAATTCATTCACTAAAAAGCTATCGTAATTTTTGGAATTGCTTGACTTTTCTAATTAAACATCAGGTTAACGTGAAGTATTCTGTGGGAATTCGTTGAATATTTCTGACTGCCAGACACAATTTCAAATACACTAAATACTCGGTAATCAAAAAAATTTTCACCGAATTCCACCGAATACCTCGGCAAACTTCGTGGCAGTGTTTGATGCTTGTTTAGAAAAGCAACCAATTCCAAAAAATTGCTCGGTCAGAAATGTGTCGAAAACCAGCGATTGCACAATTTCTGAAAAGTCGTCCATATAAAAACCAAATAATTTTTTCGGAATCACTTGAGATTGATGATATCCTTAAGGAGTTTGGAAAATCTTTCAGCAAATATCGTGTGGACATTTTTGACTGCCAGGCATTTAGTCTGTGCTCCACTGCCGGGTATTTGCACACTGCTAAAAAAAAGCTAAAAATACTTGCGATCCCAATTAGAACTGAGAAAATAAAACTATTAGAAAACATTGGGTAAAGCGAACAAGTACGAATTAAGCCCGGAAAATATTAGAAAAACTCACTTTGAAAAAGTATCTTAGTTTAAAATTATACGCAACCACTAAAATATCAGTTGGAAGACGCAAAATACGCTACATCCCTTCCTAATACAAGCGGCGTTTAAAAATGAAAGCTCCTCTCTTCTCCTAGCTTAGTAAACTGGAGAGGTCAAAGAAAACCCTGAAGTCGCTTTACAATACTTGTGCGTCGGTTCCTTCTAAAAGCGACACCAACCTTTTTGTGGTGGCTTCTGTTTAATAGATGCATGTTTCTCACTAAGAGGCGGTAGTACGTTTAGAAACCCGCATGAGGGGCGCAATGTTTACTGTACACTTAGCCAGGCTGGATGCATACCCCACCTTAAATGTACCAAAATGGCTTCTGCGCGGTACGTTGGCATAAACAAAGTTCTTTTTAATCTTAGCAAAGTTATCCGTGATCGATTCCTAAAGTGCATAAGAAGCCAAAGTGGCTTCTGCGTGGTTCGTTGGCACAAGTAAAAATCTTTCAATCTTAACAAAGTTCTCCGTGATTGAATTCTGATAATACATAAGCCAGCCAATTTTCAAGAAAAAGTCAGTCCCAGACGTATAACATATCATTTCGCTGGACGCGATTTTGGTGAAACGATTTGTGGAAAAACTCATGATACTTAATATCTTCCGGGAATAATTTCGTGCTGGGCTATCGAAACTTTCAACACCGGAACGTGTACGTGTTTGCGTGTGTGCGCACGTGCGTGCGTGCGTGAGTCCGCGCTGGGGCTCTTCTCTCTAAATTCCCGTTAAGGGAGCCTATGAACATAGGATAAGAGCGCTATAGAAATAAAAGTTATTATTATTATTATTATTATTATTATTATTATTATTATTATTATTATTATTATTATTATATGCTCCCCTGTACTCCTTTCCCCCTCCACTTTTGTTTTCGTTTTGCATTTAATTTCATAGTAAACAGTTTGAGGATTATGAGTTAAAGAGCTCTTCTCAATACGAAGGTTACCATCTGAATTCTCTTTTCCATAAACGCCACCAAGTTAAAAAAATCATCAAGGAGAGAAAACCAATGGCAAGGAAGAAGGTGGTCCAAATAGTTACCGCTGAGAATTCTAAGTCAATTGCCCTCACGAAGTAATAAGTTCTTACTAAAACATTTAGTGATAAAAACGAGCGATAAATATATGAACGATGTTTCGACCGCTCCACGGTCATTTTCAAGTTAGAGTTCATGAGTAAATTTCCGCATATATGCGATTTCTGAAACAATGGAATAAAGGTAAAAGATAAGTATTTACATATAAACAATAAAGCTAATAACTAATAACAAAGTGCAAAAATGACGTGTAAATAAGCGGTGAAAAGGATGAAAATTAATTAATATGAAGTGTTAAGTAAGAGAAACTCAAGAGAGAGATGTTTGTGTGATCTGGGCGATAGCATATAATCCTGGTCGAACACACACTTTTCAATTTCTCAAAGTTAAAAACCTGGCTAGATGAAACGTTATCGAATAACAAATGTAGGATATAGATCATTGCAGCAGACTGTGACATCTGGTCACTGACTGCAACTGCACAATTAAAGATAACTTAAAAAGACTTGAAGAAAAATGAAATCGTAACTCTAAAACCACTCTAAACCCCCCCTTGCCATTTTACTTTCAAGATATATGGCTAGAGCTGTAAAAAAAAAGAAAGAAAAAAGAAACAAAAGCTTCCCTTGCTTCGACTTTTTCAAAGGTAAAGTAATGATTGATGACCATCGTAGAGATGCTGTACCCTCTCTTCGAGAAGATATGGGAAGAAGAAGAAGTACCAGCAGACTGGAAGGAGGGCTACCTCATCAGACTACCCAAGAAAGGAGACCTCAACAACTGCGCTAACTACAGAAGAATAACGCTTCTGTCAGTGCCAGAAAAAGTATTCAACAGGATCCTGCTTGAGAGAATGAAAGTTGCAATCGACCCCCACCTCCGAGACCAGCAGGCTGGATTTCGCCAGAACAGATCATGCATTGACCAGATCGCCACCTTGCTCATCATCGTCGAGCAGTTTTTAGAGTGGAACTCCTCGATTTACATCAACTTCGTCAACTACGAGAAGGCTTTCGACAGCGCGGACCGCGACACCCTCTGGAAGCTGCTACGTCACTATGGAGTGCCAACCTCAAGAATTTCCACGAAGGAATGACATGCCGAGTGGTCCATGGAGGTCAACTGACAGACAGCCTCGGTGTGAAGACCGGAGTCAGACAAGGCTGCCTTTTGTCACCTTTTCTTTTCCTCCTGGCGATCGACAGGATCATGAAGACATCAACAGCGGACAGAAGAAACGGGATCCAGTGGACACTGTTCGACCAGCTAGAGGACCTAGACTTTGCTGACGACCTGGCCCTGCTTTCCCACAGCCACCAGGAGATGCAGGATAAGACAACAGAGCTGGCAGCCACCTCATCACAAGTCGGTCTCAAGATTCATGAAGGCAAGACTAAGATCCTCAAGATCAATACAGCAAGCGAAGACCCAGTCACGCTACGTGGGAGCAAGCTGGAAGAGGTGGAGGCCTTTACATACCTGGGCAGCATCATCAACAGACAGGGCGGCACAGACGCAGACGTCAGAGCAAGAATCGCCAAGGCGAGGGCAGCATACTTGTAGCTGAAGAACATCTGGAGCTTCAAAGCGGTGTCAACTCGCACAAAGATCAGACTGTTCAACTCCAACGTCAAGTCAGTACTTCTGTATGGAGCGGAGACATGGAGGACCACGAAGACCACCATCAGGAAAGTACAGACCTTCATCAACAGCTGCCTGGGAAGGATCCTCCAGATACGCTGACCCGACACCATCAGCAATGCAGACCTGTAGCAGCGTGCCAACCAGCTGCCAGCTGAGGAGGAGATCCGGCGTAGAAGATGGGGATAGATCGGGCACACCCTGAGGAAGCCAGCCAACAACATCACAAGGCAGGCGCTCAAGTGGAATCCCCAGGGAATGCGAAAGAGAGGAGGGCCAAGAAACCTGGCGCCGTGACCTGGACGCCGACATCAAGAAGATGAGAAAGACCTGGAGACAACTTGAAAGAGCAGCCCAGGACAGAGCACTCTGGCGGAATGTTGTCGGCGGCCTATGCTCCAGGAGGAGCGATGGGCTTAATGAATGAATGAAGTAATGATCCAATTTCTTGTTCTCCAATGAATTCAGTACTCGAACCTACGCAACTGTGGTAAGTTCAGATTCCAATCTGTTCGAAGAACACCGAGCTGCAGCATACGTACAGGAATAAAATATGTTTCCCGTGCAGAAAGTGTAAGATTTCCAAGGAACATTTTGTGTTACTAGGAAAAGAGGACTCTCTCTCGCCTTTGAAAAATATACGTGCACAAGTTTTAAGCTACTTTAAGATATTCTGATGTAAAATAAAACTTAAAGATATGTTGAGATTAGAATGAGGAGAAAAATTCGGTTGTGCGATCCCTTATCTAGTCAGGTGTTAGTCTACAGGGAAGTGTGTATATCTATTCTTTAGTGCAGTAGAAAAACCGATGTTTCACCAAATAGATAATTGCAAGATATATCTATGTCACTAGCAATTATTTTTAGGCTAAAAACAGGCGGGAAATATTAGAATAATCTACAGGAAATCTTATCAATTCATTTTTAACCTAAAGGTACGTTCGATCCTCAAGTAATAGTCCACACAACAGTCGGTGTATGTTTAAAAATATTGTAACTCGTCCAGCTCTCGAGAACGATTGGTATACTTTACATTCAAATATCACAAATGTAGACGGTAAGATACAAAAGCCTTATAAATACTCAAATCTCACCTTCCTTATATTTCCCCTGCTTGGTTTCACGGCCTGGAACGAAAAAAATCAAGTATATGGAGATTGCGCACAAGACTTTCATCATCTTAACACTGGAAAAGTCCCTTCAGTTCATTTTCTTTACCAGAAAAATACTTCATTTCAAAATCTCGATCTGACTTTCGGTGTTATCATACCTACCCGTTGGGCTCGATTTATCACCGCTTACCCAAACAAACGATGGGGTTCTTTTTAATTCTGTGCTGGATAATTTAAATTAGATGATTCAGGGCAGTCGATCAGTCCTTCTGTACAAATCACACAGCGCTGGACATCTGCCAAATGCATGTCAAGTTATCTGAAGTATCACTATGGCCACTAAAGTACTAAAAATTTGCCGAATTTTCTCTATGAGGTGATTAAAAATTAAGTGACCTATTCTGACAGCTATAACTAAGTTTTTAACCGGTCTGATAACCATTTGGAGTGTGACAAATATTGGTCCATCATTGACTCTGATTTAAATATTCATTTTTGGTTAAGAAAAAAACGTCTTCAATTTACTTTCGATCCATGACGCACATAGGGTTTTGGTATAAACGAAATAATCTCTCATAGCCTTTTCTTCAAATATAGGTAGTCAAGTGGTAGTTTTCAAGCAACCGAGTGCCTTAAAGCATTAAAATCCAATTTTTTTAAAATTTATGTTAATCATACTTTAAACAGTAAATGTATTCCATTCGTACATATGTATTTTCCACTTTAATAGGATCAACTTTCAGAAGCACTAATTAAAAAAAAGTCATCAATTCCAACAATTAGTTTATTTCTCAATGCCAAACCTATCACCAGGTATCTTATCCAATTTTAATCTTAGGACATACCTCAAGGGAAAAATTAATGGTATCATAAAACTGTTATTAAAACTGTTATTAGTAAAAAAGTAAACGCATTTACTTCACCCTTGAACGAATTTACCGTTAGGTACGGCCTGAAAATTGTTGTCGTTTCAACTAAAAAGAACAAGACGAAAAAGACCCTGTTATTTGAGCTGTGTTTAAAAAAACGAACTCTAGGCGCATTTTCGAAATCAAGGTCATTCTTTTGTCTAGAATCGCATAATTGAATAAAATCTCGCATTCTGATTGGTTAACGAAGCAAGGTATTTAGCGTGGAATTGCGAGTTGAAAATGAGGCTAAGTGATATTGTTTCGCACCTTTTGTTTTGCGCTCAGGATAAAAACAAACAATATTATTGATGTTATTTCTATTCAATTATGCGATTAAAGGAAAATCCATCACCTGACTCGTGAATTCCGTGTTAAATTGGATTTGAAAACCGATATCGGTCTTCGCGTGCAATTTAACACGGAATTCCTTCGTCAGGTAATGAATTTTCTTATGTAATGCATTAATGGATTACAAACACACCAAAGAAAAAAAAGTTATTTCTTGTACTCTATCCACCTGACGCTAAATACAAATCTTTGAGCGAAACGGTGACAATTAAATGCTGCGGTTGCGTATGTTAATCAGAAAAGTCAAGAAAAATAATGCGGGTTGTAAGGAGAGAGAATAAAAAGAACCCTTCGTGCACATTTGTAATCTGGGCTTTTGTTAGTCCAAATATAGCGTCAAACCCAACTCGGACAATAAAAAAAAAAACAGATTAGCATTTACTTTGCATTGAGAGAACCTTAAAGAGAAGATATACTTAACTTTGGAGAGAAGCTGTTAAATTTTGATGTACTCAGCATGAGTGGTAAACCAAATTAACCAATCATGAAGCGAACTCATCTTTTTCAAGCATTTGACATGAGAACTCTCTCATCTGCGCATCTCCTACAACGAGAGCCACATTAGAAATCCAAGATAGATGAAATCAGTTCCAGAATATTTTTTAGGCGACAACACATATTACATAGTGTGAAAGATCTATGCCTAACAAAGTTTCTTTCGTTGTATATGTAGTAACATTTTATCACTTCTAGATTCAGGTTCTTTTCGGAGATTTCTGTTAATCTTCTTTCTTTGTTACTTTTTTTTTTTGAAGCAGATGGTGCAGATCTCAAATTACAAAGAAAAAGGATTCGATGACACCACACATTATACTTCCAACTCCTCAACACAATACAATCAACAGCTAACCAATAACTAGTGCAACACCATGTTAAAAAGTCAAAAGGTTGTCGTTGTTTTCCTTGATTATGCCGTGTTTCCTTTATAAATGCAGTTTCAAAACTAGTAGCTTTAAATCATAGCGAATCTCACTTCTTCTCACGTCGTATCAGTTCGTAAACCAATAGTAATGCTATCAGGAAACAAGATGCGCACCTATCGACAAAGAGATAATTACAATTTTTCTTTTATTGTAAGTTAAATCCAATCAGTTAATTATCATAACATGGTTCTTGCAAGTTAATTTCTGATCATCGATCACGTACACAAAGCTTAAGATTGGATGAAGAGATTTTCAACTGATTTCAGAAAGTAATTAACGAAATCTCGAGATAAAAAAACTCGCGGACCAACAGAAAAACTGAGCATTTAATTTTTTAACTTCATAATAAATGCAAACAAAGTTCATCTCTGATAACTCGCCGTTAATACTAGTAGAGGCCCTCGTTACAACGTTTGTCCCGTATCTTGGAGCTCTTCACATATTCATGGTGCAGAATGTGATAGCGAATATTCCTCCTTGTTTTCGTAAGTTCAAAGTTCATACAATATTTTGTTATTTCATTCCCTTTTGCCGAGAACCAGAGGAAGTCATTAGAGAAGATCAGTTAGCTAATTTTTATGTCATCATAATAGAGACTTTTCCTCGATACCAAACACTAAACACTGATGAATTTTTTCAATCTGTAGTAGCAGTTGTCATTTTTCTGGTCAACCGTTCTTATTTTTAAAACGGCTCGCAATTTTTGCACAAAGAATCCGCAAAGTACAAAATGCACGAAATAAGCTTAAAAAGCGAAAAAAAATTAAATATTTGTTTTCTTATAATGCAAAACGGTTCCTGCACAATATTAGAACAATAACAGAAAGCAAACTGCGTGAAACTTGAAAAAAGCCTTATCAGTTACAAAAAGCACAATAGGAAACTGATATTTACATAAGACATACTGTGTTTTCTTCTCTCTTCTCTTTTGCTGACTCAATGGGGTCAAAATAATTAATTTTCTTTCCAATTTTGTCCTTTCTCCAGCTTCCCATCTTTTAAACAACAATCCAACTTAATTAAAAAACTTATGGTTACCCCTCATTTAATCAATCTGCTGACACAATTATTTCTCTTAAATTCGTACTTTTGGTTGCCGGCAGTCTTAGAATGGGGTCCCTGCAGTGCATGCTCTGTAACATGTGGCATCGGAGTCAGATATCGCACGACCGAGTGTGATTCGGGTAATCCAGCAACGGAAGGAAAGCAAACTACAGTGGAAGAAAGTTGTCAAGTTAATCCTCCTTGCCCACAAGGTATCACGGACTACATACACGTAATAAACTGCTCGGTGTAACAGCTTGTCTTGGTCTCACCAACTGATAGTGTTCATTTGAGCTGATTGTCGTAAATCCAAAACTAAAGTAATCATAAGGAACAGTGAGAACAAAGGAAACAAAGATTCAACAAACAAACTGCCTGAAGTGCAGGAAAACAAGACTGATTTTCATTTTGAATCTGATTGGTTAAGAAATTTGCAGGAGTTTTCTGGACCAATCACAGGGCTAAGTTAAGCAAAAGTGAAAGCAATACTGGATTAGTTCTGACACTCAATTGAAATTGGTTCATGAATTAGATGAGGATACCTTACATATGATCAACAAAAAAACAAGGTGCATACAAAAATTCTATCAGGTGCACTGCCATTGAAAAGTGTCTAAGGTGGCTCAAAATGGTCTTGTTATACATCCACTCTTTGATACATCATAGTTTCTATTTTTGTTTGTTTGTTTTCTTGTTTTGTTTTTGTTTTTTGATAACCGGTGTTTGAAAAATGCTTGAGTATTTCTCGGGAGGTTTTGACATATTCGGTTACCACAGCAAAACTAAAGCCTGATGAATTCGATAATTTAAGGGAAAGGACACCTCAGTCAATTAGGGCAGATTTAGGGTTTAAGGATCCATTTCATAATAATTCTCATTTTTGACAATGTAAGATTATGCAAATTTTTATGGTTGTGACTGAATTGTTTAAATCATTCTTAAAATGAACTAATTTTATTTCATGCGATTGACAACTAGCATAAACATTTACCTTAAACTTATGGCTCTCCCTTTTAGTAAGATGTTCAAGTGAAGTAAACCTAATACTAGTGTATGTAATAACCCTTAAGTGTCCATCTGCCTCCCACTTTATACCTTTTGAACTCTCTGTTGTAGATTATGTCCAATATGAAGAATTCTATCCATGTGTCGAATAATTATTTAACGTGTTTATTTGATGACTCATATTCACAACTGTCCTTAATCAGAAAGCACATGAGTAATTAATTTAAAAGTCTCGTGATCAACTGTCAATCACAAACGTCCTTTGAACTCTGTACAAACAAAACAGAAAACAAAACCCTATGGCAGCTAATAAGTTTCACGACACCATGTTTTTATTAATTTTCACAGGCACCACAAATCATGGGTCCCTTCTTTTGTTAGGATACTCCAAAGCTGCTATGCAAGACCATGTGATCAAGTCTGCAATTGTATATAGCATAGCAGAATGTGGATTGATGTGTTTACAAGACTCAAGCTGCAAGTCCTTCAAAACCTGTTCTAGGAAAAGTGTGTTTCTCTGTGAGCTAAATATTGCTACATAATAATAATGAATATGAGGAAGATGTTATTTCGAGTATCAATTGTTCATATCATAATGCTTTCGATTAAAGCTCTTGACTCATCAATACACTGTGCTTATATCTGGAAAAATTGCAATGTTTTTTTTTGTTGTTGTTTTTTTTGCTGCCCTTGTTCCAAAGGTTTTCTATGGACCAAAGCAAAGGTCTGTTCAATTTGGTTTTATCAACTGAGTCCAGTTACATTGGAATTTAATAAAAATCCCAAAAAGACCTGTCTTTCCAATATACTGGTATGTTGTAGCTTTAACTACGTAATGGAAGTCCACTTAAGAAACAAAGCTGGAAGAAGTGGGTCATTTATGTGGTGGCTAATTTTATCAGACATATTGAGAATACATCCTTTATTAATAGCTATGAAAATACAGCCCAGATAGAGGGCAGTAGAAAACAAAATCATATATCTTTGTTCCCTAGGGAGGTAAAGATCTCTTCCTCGTTTACTGTCTTGTCCTCCATTTGGCCTTCATTTTCAACAAATTGAATAGAGAAGAATGTGTACAAAACCACATCATTTTTACCTCAGTCAATAGTACATAAATGTCCTAATTTACTACTTACCCCACATTCATAATCCTTTTGAAAGCTGTCTTAAAAGGTGATGAAAATTTGACCATCTTTGCCACCAATTTAAATAATTCCTTGCAACCTCATTACACACAGATGACAACAACCAATATTCAACAGAAATGGTGAGAACCAAAATGCACAGTTCACAAACAGCTGCTGCTTTAGGCCTCCCCACTTTCATTAAGCTTGTACTCCTGTTTGGATCAACATGGTTTGGTACCCAGCCATGTTTAAAACCGCAAAGTGTTACGTCACAGAAGGCAACCAGGTTGCTATTCAATGATCAAAATGGCAGCATCCATGGTCAAATTCTTGATTCATTTGAAAAGTTAAACTACTCTTTAAAATATCAAAATGCGGCCATTGTTATATTTTCATGCATATTTTGGAATGACCGAGATGAAATCAATATGGTTTCTCATTCTGAAGCAGCTCCTCCTTTAGACAGTAATTTTTAAGAAAGGAAATCATTCTAGTTTCCTACCTGTACCTTTTTGATGGTGTTTTCAGGTTTTGATAGGCAAGATATCAGTTACTATTGCTTGCATCTCTTCGAGTGTCTTTCCTTTGAAAAATTCTTCCATGACTTAGCAGGGTTTCCTTCTTAAAGTGATTTATTCGCTTAATTAAGGTTGCTTCCTCACGCGTCACCCAGGCGTGCGCCATGTTGGATTTATAAAAAATAAAAGGACTGGGAACGAGTAGCTTCAATGCATGGAAAGAGATAAGGAAACTAATCAAGGCGAAAATGAGGTTGGTACTAATACCTAAACACGGTTACGAGGTATTGGATTAACGCTAATATTTGGGGATTACTTGATAAATGCTATAGAATACTATTGTCGTGTTTGCATAGCCTCATCTTAACACTTGGGAGGGGGTGAGGGAGTGGTTGGATGGGTGAGGAAGGTAGAAGATTTCTAGGAAGTTGAGCAAACCCTGAAGTACGTTTCAGGCATGAAAAACTGTCTTGAATCAGTCTCCCAGCCCTATTCGTGTTTGCATAAGGCTATGTAAACGCGGAAAAAGTATTCCATTGCTCAATTCGTGACTTAAGGTTGCCGTGCACCTTCAGAGGTGTCTCGCGTGAAAGGGATGTAGCGCGTCCGGTTTAAACTGTAGATATCTAAACCCCTATATCAAATTAAAGTTTATAGGACTGGCTATCAGACTATACCAAAAATTTTGAAAAAAAATGAGTTGTCGAATTTTTCACGACTTCTAAATGCGAGCGCCCGAATCACCCTTTGAACGTTACATGTTAAAACGAACTTAATTTTTCGCTTATTTAATGTGTTCCTCCGTTTCCGGGGCCAAAGCGCTAAAATATCATGTCTGCGATTTGCCATATTCAATTTCAGTGAAAAGTTACAGAACATTTTTTAAATAGGATTAAAAAAATGTGTTGTTATCGTACAAAAATCGCTCTTGAAAAAAAAGTATTTAGAAATAAAAAATTCGGAGACATATTTTTGTTGTTTATATGTAAAACTAGCTACTGTCAAAATTTGAGAGCAATCGAACAAATTCCCTTTGACTTGTAGCTCTTAAAAGNTTTCCCTTGCACACGTTTAAGCATGGAGAGTAATCTCGAAATGCATTTCGTGCAATTTTTGACCGCGCTTGGAGCCCTTCTGAACGTGACTTATCAAAGAATATCTGAAACAATGTAGCCAATGTAGCCGGTCGCTCGTCACGATAAAATTAGCACGATAAGTATTGTCTCTGGCGTTAACGGAAGTACTTGACTCTGACCACTTAAAAAAGGCATGGTGCAGAGAACATAAGTCCACGTAGCTCTGTCGGGTACAGAAAGCCCAGGGTAGGGTTAAGTTCAATCAGTTTTGACAAAACCTTGCCACAACACATTTTCTGTAGAGTTGCTCAATTTTCGTTTCAGTCGTCATCAAAAAATTTATTTTTTGGTAGCGTCTCTCAATAACACTGCGTACAGCACCAAACGAATTAGAATGAGAGGCACTCGACGAGGTATGTGAAATCTGGCTGTTTGGTATATAATTCGTATCTTAAAGAAACTCTTTTCAAAAACTGAAGCAGTGCTTAGATTTGATTTTTTTTATTCAAATATAAGACTTTCTACTCATTCATTTCATTTAAAGCTCAGTAAAGCTTGTGAATGTCAAGATGTTGTGAGCTGTTCCAACCCCTAATTCATGAATTTTTGTATGCGACTGTTAACCTTGCAAACAGTAAGAACTTTCCAAAGGCCCACTCTGCATTATCAATCGCAAAGAAGAGAGGTCGAATTCCAGAAGTTTTGAAATATCTCTCGATGATGGCTTACAACATAGAGCAGTTAGGTTGTCTGACGCAGTCGAATCTTTACGCTCTTAGGGGCGTCAGTCGTTCTAATTGCAATCAGTTGGCAGTTTGATTCAGAAATTATCCTAAAGAAATGTTAAGCAAAGTTGATTCGGTTTTGAAAAAAGATGTGACGACCTGAAGGCTACAGCTCCCCAATTTAGTAGCATCATACAGGTAATTTTCACTTCGGATGCTGCGTTCTCGCGTTGCCGGATAAAAAAACTGGCAGTTCGTTAAATTTATTCATCAATTTGTAGTTATGGCATGAAGCAGATTTATTTTCCTCGAATGGCTTGCAATGGTACGTGTCATAGCGAATTTTTCTTTTTCGCTTATTTAATGTGTTCCTCCGTTTCTGGCGCCAAAGCGCTAAAAAAGCCTGTCTGCGATTTGTCATATCCAATTTCAGTAAAAAATTACAGAACATTTTCTAAATAGGAATAAAAAAAATGTGGAGTGATACAAAAATCGCTCTTGGAAAAAAAAAAAATAGAAATAAAAAATTCGGAGACATATTTTTGTAAAAAAAATGTAAAACTAGCTACTGTCAAAATTTGAGAGCAAAAAAAAAAATTCCCTTTGACTTGTAGCTCTTAAAAGGCAAAAAAAACGCTCGCATTTAGAAGTCGTGAAAAATTCGACAAAAAAAATTTTTCAAAATTTTTGGTATAGTCTGATAGCCAAAAAAAATAACTTTAATTTGATATAGGGGTCTAGATATCAAAAAAAAAAACTGGACACGCTACATCGCTTGCACGCGAGAAAAAAAAGAAGGTGCACGGCAACCTTAACGGTCCAACTGAAAAAAAAGAATCGTCGACTCTCGTAATTATATAAAAGCGAAAAAAAAGATATTCCGTGATTACAGGGTACTAAACAAGGAAAAAAAACAAGAACTTTTTCAATCCAAAAATAAATCTATAAAAAAAATGATGAAACTTGAAACAAGGGAAAAATGATTAAAAAAAAACTTCATGACACGGCTTTAGTACAGCGTATGTTAAAAAAAAAACATGCTGATACCTCTACATGGCTGTTACCTAAAAAAAAGAAAAATAATGCACCGTTAGAATGGAGACGAAAAAAAAAACAAGATATAGAGGACTTAGTCCATACTGTAACAAAAAAAATTAAACTTATGGTTCAAGGTGCCTGGGCGTGCAAAAAAAAAAGGAAGTGGGTACTACTCTCCCTTCTCAGGGAAAAAAAAACCCACTCTTTATATTAAGTCGTCTTTTTTTCAAAAAAAAGTATTAAGTATCTTTCTACTTTTGTACACTGCAAAAAAAAGATAATCATGATGCTTTAGAAGTTCCTGAGTTAAAAAAAATGCACATCACTGTTTGTTTGAATCAGAGTTTGAAAAAAAAATGAAAACAGACTGATTTGTCAACTTTCCTCCAAAAAAAAGATTTCTTCTCTCTCCCCAATCTTCTTCCCTTAAAAAAAATTGGCCCACGGCTGTTGCTCAGCTGACATCAGAAAAAAAAAGAGCAGCATTCCCAACACATAGATGACAAAGAAAAAAAAGAATACTGTGCGCCACTCTTCAGCTTTCTAATAAAAAAAAAAACGTACACAAACTTTCGCGTCTTGTGTAATAAAAAAAACGATTATGGAAATAATCAGAATAGAGGATGACAAAAAAAATGGATTGTGATAGCAAAAAATAAATAGACAGACCCATGTTGAATCCTAATTAGACTCTGGTTAGACTCAACTAAAAAAAATTTAATCCACCTGCTACACATACTCCACGATTAAAAAAAAATTCAGTGAGACATTTTTGTGTCCCTTTTATGAAAAAAAAAACTCAGATAGAGTAGGAAGAATCCCAGTTCAAAAAAAAATGGGAAGATGGGTAACTCTCTTGCTCTTCTTAAAAAAAAAATATTGGACAAAGAAACCGCACTAAATCCACCAAAAAAAAATGTTGTCCATCGCGCATATAATTCGTTAACCAAAAAAAATAACTGTGATATAACCAACCATCATTGGACTTAAAAAAAACGTGATTGTTCCCACAGTGTTTGTGAGGCCCAAAAAAAAACATGCGTACCGAGGAGCTATATCCAGCATGTTAAAAAAAAAACCAGAATGCATTAGCCCAGAGGCTGCCACCAAAAAAAACA